TAGTTCTTATAGAAAGGATGTAAGAAAAGAAGAATAAAATCAATATAAAAAAAAAACATCAGTAGAACTATAAAGAAATCAAGAAATAAATAAAAAAAGAGACCAATGCCAAAACGTAGAAATATTATATTGGCGAATTTGAGAATATCGATTAAATTTTATATTATATTGTTCTGTTATTATTGTATTACTATATATTGTTATATTTATAAATATATAATATTTTATACAAATATAAGTTTGTTACAAATATTAATATTGGATTCAATTCATATTTTTATTAATTTCTGACTGGATAATTTCATAATTAATTTCATAACTGGAAATTTTGAAACACGTATATGCTTTTAAAAACTTGAGATATATATCATAAAAAAATACGATAATTTTTATTCTTTTTTTTTTTATTTTACAAGAAATATTTTTCTCTCTCGTTTTCCACTAAAATCCAATAAAAATAAGCGAAATAAAAGAAGGAACCGCCATTAATTCTTATCTTCTCAAATATTTATCTTCTCAGATAATAAGAAAATAAGTATTTTATCAAATAATGCGTCTTGATTTCGATTTTATGATAATTATTTAGACAATATTGTATTTCTTTCCTTTGGTTGGGTTTAAAATGTAAAGTTATTAAAATAAAATGTTACAAAAATGTTAAAAAAAAAAGATAATAGTTCAATTGAAACGATTTGAATCGATTGCATTTTTTGAATTATTTCAAATGCTTCGATCTTTTTTCTGAATAATTATCGATTAGATACGAATAAATTATTGATAGAATATTTTTATGAAAATAAAATTTTATTATTTAAGTCCTTATTTTTAAAAAAATCGAAATTGAACATAGTCAAAGTAATCGAAAAATCGAATAATCGAAAAATTTTGAAATTTAATTTTTTCGAAAATTAATTTTTAAATAAAAAACTTTTATTTTAAAATTTAAAACTTAATTTACCTAAAAACACAATTTGATTATCGAGATAAAAAAAATTGATTGTTTTTTTAAATTTATTTTATCTTCTGTCTAATAGAACATTTATATTCTTACACTCAAATTCAAATTGTAGAGAGCATCAAACTTTAATTTTTTAATTATCGGTTATTAATTTTTTAATTATCGGTGTATCAGAATATAGAATATGAAATTCGATAAGATATTATTTCTATGTTTTTATTTAATTCTATATGTAAAAATACGAAAATTATAAATCGATAAAAATAATTCAATGTTATTTAACTTCTAAATTGTTATTTAATTATTTAAATTGAA